ATGATCCCATGATTGTTGCTCCCCAGAGGACTCACCGTACTCCAGGAGGGACAGGTCCGTGCTGGGCAGGCTCTGGAAGCGCACGTCGGGCTGGCAGGACTGGAGCCTGACGAAGAGGCCTCGCTTGGGTGCGCAGCGGAAATAATATTTGCCCAACCAGTCGCCGGCGTTGACTCCTTTATCTTCATCCTGGGAAAAAGAGCATCCAAGAGGAGGTTTTATGGCATCAGGGAGTGGTTTAGATTGGAAAAAAAAGGAGCTCTGTGAAGGAGTTTGAGCTGCTAAGGTCATCACTAAGGTGTTCCCTCACCACCAAGTGCCACATCCATAGGGATGTTAAATCCCATCATGGATGGTGAGTCTACCCCTGTCCAGGTGGATGTGCTAGGGATGGACAACCCTTTCCAGAAGGTGGTGGATTCACCATCCCTGGAGGTTTTCAAGGTGAGACTGGATGTGGCACTTAGTGCCATGGGCTAGTGACCACGGGAGGGTTGGACTCGATGATCTTGGGGGTCTCTTCCAACTTGGTTGATTCTAGGATTCTATGAAGTGTTTCCCATTGTCCTGGACATTGTTCCCTGGGAGTAGATCCCAACTCCCACCTAGCTGCACCTCCTGAGGTCCCTCCTGAGCCTCCCTGGCCCCAGGAAGGGATCGTGGGGGAAGGAATGTCCCCATGGAGCTGTATCCCCATGGACTTGTGGCCCCATGGACACACAGATTTGTGGCCCCAAGGAGCTGTGTGTGTTCCCATGGAACTGTGTTCCCATGAAGCTGTGTGTGTGTCCATGGAATTGTGTTCCCATGGAATTGTGGCCCCATGGACACACAGATTTGTGGCCCCAAGGAGCTGTGTGTGTTCCCATGGAACTGTGTTCCCATGAAGCTGTGTGTGTGTCCATGGAATTGTGTTCCCATGGAATTGTGGCCCCATGGAGCTGTGTATGTGTCCCCATGGAGCTGTGTCCCCATGGAGCTGTGTGTGTCCCCATGGAATTGTGGCCCCATGGATTTAAAGACTTGTGTTCCTATGGAGCTGTGTGTGTCCCCATGGAATTGTAGCCCCATGGACACATGGACTTGTGGCCCCAAGGAGCTGTGTGTGTCCCCATGGAACTGTGTTCCGATGGAGCTGCGTGTGTCCCCATGGAATTGTGTCCCCAGGGAGCTGTGTGTCCCCCCATGGAATTGTGGCCACATGGACTTGTGTCTCCATGGAATTATGGCCCCATGGAGCTGTGTGTGTGTCCCCATGGAATTGTGTCCCCATGGAGCTGTGTGTGGGGAGGGAAGGTCCTTGGAGCACCAGCCCCAGACGTGCCAGTGTCTGTGTTTGATGGGATGAGAGGGAGAGAAGGACAGGAGAAATGATGGAAGGGTTTCAATCCTTCCCACGAACGTCTGGGGAAGACTCAGACCTGGGAGGTGGTCAGAGGGACAGTGTGGGCAGGAGGGAGATGGACTCTGTGCATGGTTGTCACCTCCTGTCTGGGCTCA